CAACAGCGTCCACACCCACACTTGCCACAGGAGAGCCTGGGGAGGCAGGTGGGGCCTCGGCCCGCCAGGGGAGTGGGTGGGGGAAAGGCACAGCTCTCTTGGAGGAGTCTCCTTGGCCCCCGTCTCCCCACCTGCGCCTGCTTCCACCAGCGCTGCAGACCACGGGAAGGGTGGGTGCCAGAACACTGCCCCCACCAGGACCCCACGCACATCAACAGGCCCCCCAAGAAAACATTTGCAACAGACCCCAATGGGTCTATATTTAGAGCTGAACTTTAAGGCAAATATCAAGGAGTTCTGGAGCAGAATTCATGATGGGCTCAGCCCCTTAGTGTGTGCCTGTAAAACCAGCGAGCCGCTGTCACCTGGTCCCATCCCTGGGGGGCTTATGCTGCTCATCCAGTTCTTGGAAGCCTTGCATCGATGGTGTTCTTGCCCAGGAGGTGACAGGAGAGGATATGGTCTGCTCTTGATGTTGGGGCTGAGACTGGGCTGGCACCCATCAAGGCTATGCCAGGCGTCTGGGTCAGAGCCAAGCTGCTCGGCCTTCAGCCCACATTTTCCTCCCCGACCTCAGATGCACTGACCCCATGGGCTCCCTGCCTTCTAGGGTGCTCTGGGCCAGCCTTGCCCAGGTCAGGGTCAGGGGCCACTGGGAGCCAGGGCTGAGGGGCCTGCAGGGTGGCTGAGCTGTCAGAGGCCACATTCACGCTGTGCCTGCTTCCTGCTCACTGAGACACCACAGGGAGGGACCTCACCCCATACCTCAGAGGGGCAAGGAGGGCTTTGCGTGACGCTCCCCAGGGGTACCCTCAGAGCAGCCCTGGGAGGGAGGGGACACCACAGCAGCCCATCTTACGATGCCCACGGCAGGACCGGGAGTGTCTGCCTCACCCCCAGGTAATGCAGGAACGAAAGGGGTCCACATGGTTCTGGGCACACCTCAGACCTGAATCCTGGAGGCACCACTCATTCCCGAGGAACAAGAAGGTCAGAGAAAGCTTTTTGGAGCCCGGACACCCATATATCAGAGTAGGGGGGCCTGGGTCAGGATGTACCTTATCCAGGTTCCATATCCAGCCACTGCGTGGTCCCAGGCAAGCCACCTCCCCTCTGAGCCCTAGGTTCCAACCTGCAAAGGGACCTCGGGAGGAGAGAACGACGTGGCGTGCGGAAGGCAATGGGGCCTGCTAGGAACCGTGGGCTGGGCAGGGGTACCTGCTTTGGTATTCACACCATGATGCATTTCCCAGGCGCGCCTGGCTCTGCGAGGTCAAAGCCCTCCCATCCGGTTCCATCCAGACCTGCCCTCTTGGCTTGCTCCCAGGGAGCCAGCCAGGGTCCTATCAGGCACCTCCCACCAGCCTGTGGGAAAGGTACGTGAGAGGCACACGTGCCACCTGGAAGCCCCCATCCTCTCTTGTCTGCATCTGGTCTCAGCTGTGGCCTGCACTGACCCCATCTCTCCCAGGCCCACACCTTATCCTGGCCAGGTGTGCCACTGCCCAGCCCCAGGAACCTAGCTCTCAAGTCCTGGAGCCTTCTCCAGCTCTAGGCAGAGCAGGCTGTGCGTGGGAACAGGGAAGCGTCACCTCAGTGGACACACAGAGGCTGCTACCCCCAGGTCCAGCATACCCAAAGTCCCCAGCTTCTGATACAAGTCAGCTATGCCACTTATGGGTCACTTAATGTTCTCAGTTGCTGAAACACTGTGACTCGATTTCTCTTGGAGAAAGACAGGGATGTGACAGCACCTGACAGGGTGGCCTCCGGGATGAGTGTATCACTGCAGGGAAATCATTTGGACCCCACCTGGGGCAGAGGAAGCTGGCGATGAATGTCCAGGACCATGAGTGCCGTTGCCCAGGGCGCATGGCACTGCTGGCAGGGGGCTCTGCTAATCCATCTCCGAGCTGAGTCCTCAGACCCTGGCAGGGCCCTGCCTGTCTTCAATGTGCACAGATGCCGCAGCTCCGACCACCGCTCCAAGCAAGGCAGCAGTCGGTGCAGAAGATGAAGCCCAGCCCGGCACTGCCTGGCCCTGCCACACCATCTGGGGTGGTCATCTGCAAAAGCAGGACAGGCAGGACAACCGCAGTTTGGCAGGAGCGGGGGACCCTTGCGCCTGCTTTTTGCTGAGTCCCTGCATGCTGCTCGGTACTACCGTGGTGTCCCCTCCTCCAAATGCCACCACGTGAATACCATGAATAAGATCTAAATTCAAATTAGGGCCACTTTCTGGAATGCATGCAGAATCGTTCCCTGCGCCAAAGTGCAGAAGAGCACAGATACGGAACTGCCTGCCCACCTCCCTGCGCGGGGCCGGCCGCCAGCTGCCCGGGGTGGATGGACTCCACATCCCTGAAGCTCACTGTTCCTGGCATTTATTGACAGTCCACGTAATTCAACACGCTGATGAGCAGGTATCACTATCAGGCCTAGGCTGGAAGCCCTCCGTGTCTTCACACCGCAGACTACTTGGCAATTAATCCTGGGTGACTGTCCAAAGAGAATAAAGGCAGAGAAACAGGACCATGAACCCGGCCTTCGGCTGGAGGTTAACGCTCATTCCACTTGAGGAAGGAGTGGAATGTGCTGACTCTTCCTGTCTCCCCTCAGGAGACAATTGATGATGACAGTGGCGGTGTCATTTCTTGCCAATGAATTGACGTTTTACGTGGGAAAACTCTTCTTTAGGTCAATCTGATCGCTATAAAGAGCTTCTCTTTGGCCAAAAGGCTCTTCCAGGACGGGTTGAGGGCTTCTTGTAATATCATTCCCAGAAAGACAATGAGTTCAGTGACCAAATGACTTTAGTCTAGCAGTGGCCAAGCACCTAATAGGCACCTGCTGTATGCCAAGTACTGGAGATAAGAGACTTCAGTTGTTAGGTGATGGCTGGGAAACACTCATGCGCCCCTACCTGCGCTGATGCCGGGCTTGGCCATGTGGTCTTTTTAGCCAGTGGGACTTTCAGGACCTGGAGGGGCTGGCAGTGATGGGGTTTGGAGGCTGGGCCTGTCCCTATGAAGTGCAGCCCTGAACCCAACCCACACGCCGGAGCCCAGCCTGCCGAGAACAGCAAAGCTCCCGTTAGTCCAATCCCCTGCCCTAGAGCCCAGAGCCCGGGGTCCAGTCTGGCCCTCCTGTGGCTGAGCCACAGACCCACAGTCAAAGCCACCACGGCTGACCCAGGGACCCAAGCTGCACTGTGAGCCCTGGGTTTCTGGCTTGTTCGAGACAGGCACCCAGTCCCCAAAACTACAGACTGGCTGGAAACCCAAGCTCATGCTAAAGGACATGGCAGGACAGGCCATCCACGGTCGGTGGGGCGAGGGGACAGGAGGCCAAGGAGACAAGGACGCAGAGAGGCAGGCAGCTTTGGGATGGCAGCCGCACACGGCATTTCCAGCCATCTTCCTTGCTATGTTGACCGAAGAGAAAGAGCAATCCAATCCTACTGGGTATCAATACCCACATGTGCGCAGTTGGCCACGGAGACACTGGACAAAGCCCTGCGTGGCCAGGTCCCCACCAGGCACCCCGGGGCCTCCTGAGCTTGAAGCTGGGCCTGTGTACCTGTAGCCTCAGCTGCCATGTTCCTGAGGTGGGGCCCAGGGTCACCTTCCGCTTTCCTGGGACCTCTGAAGACACAGGCAGGAAGACCATGTAATACAACAGGGCGGGGCAGCACTGGAGGGCAGGTTCCCCATGAAGACCGCCGCATTTCGGCTCCAGCGCCATCACCGGTTAGCCACAGGAGGCAGGGCTCCTTAGTTCACGGTGATGTTGCCAACCTTCTGCACGTGTGAAATGGAGCAGCCGTCATCCAACTCAGAGTCCCCTGGAGAGAGACAGAGGCACTGAGGCCCACGCCAGGGTGTCGGACTGCGCAGGTCTGAACAGGGGCAGAGATGGGCATTCCTAACACGCTCCCAGGCTGTGCCAAAGCCACTGAGAGTGGCTTACCAGGCTGCCATGAAAGTGAAATCGGATAATGTCCCTGAAGTGGCGAACCTCAGGCGGCATCCTGAATATGAGCAGCTCTTCCCATTCCCATCACTGTCACACAGTGAAGAGTCTCCCGGCCACTCCAGCTCTGGCCCAGCAACCAAGCCGGGTGCCCTGTCCCCCGACTCTCACCCACTGCGGGGGTTCCAGGCTCGGGGCTGATGTGACATCACAAACAGCGGTGCCTCCACTTCCCCTCCTACAAAGAAACGGAAACCTGGGGAAAGGCTGGATCCCAAGGAGCCCCTGAAGCCCCAGGAGCTCCCCTGATCGTTCTAGAGCAATGCTCCTCCCCATGAACAACTCAGGGACCCCCTTGATCTACAGCGTGAGGCCCAACAGCAGAGAAAGAGGAGCTTGGAGTCCTGATTCCCACCCGGCGCAGGGGAGCTGAGGTGAGCTCCCAGCCTGGCCGGATCTTCCCGTAAGTACGTGGTTGGGCTGAAAGACTCCCTCTGCCTTTTCATTTGAAAATATAGATACCATCAGACATTCTGATCATTTCTATTTTTGTGTCTACACTTCAATTTTGGCAGTACTCTCTTGGGAGCTGGGGGGAAACACATTTTTCTCTACCATTTTAAATCTTCTTTTATTTATCAAACTTAGCTTCTCTTTGGGTGGATTAAAACAGACTTGGACAGAGTCTGGGAAAACAAACTCTTTTAAAACAAGACAAAGATTGAGTCTGGCCAACTGGCTATTTTCAATCCTTGCTGAACTGAGTCAAGGCAGTCGGTAGTAACAGCTTGTGGCCGTCCGTGATCGCCCAGCCCGCACGAGAGGGTGGGGCCTCCTGGAAGTGACCAGAGCCGGGGGCTTTGGGAGTCAACCTCCCAAAACACTGCACACTGCACGGCCAAGTGAGCCTTTCCAGAACTGCGGAGGAACATGTGAGTATTGGACGTGGTGAGGCCACGCCCCGCCCTGCGGACACTCACAGATGGAAGCAGGAGGATCTCCAGGCCACGCCCTCCCACCCCCTTTTCAGGGTTCCCCAAAGCTCGCTCGGTGGACGTCACTTGCTCAACAGTCAACATCATCCATATCTCTCATTCCACAGACACTGGCTGCCCAGCAAGGTGAGAAAAACAGGGGTGCCCACACACCGTGTTTGAGAAGGGGGCTCTTCTCACCTGGGATTCTTGCCCCTGCCAGCTCTAGCAGGATGGGGCAGTGTTGGATGGGCCACTGAGGGCCCTCCGAGGGCCATCCCCTGCTCGGCACAGCCTGTGTTTGCTGAATTAATAAGGACTTAGCAGTGCACTCAGGCCACCTTGACCTGGGACAGGCAGGCACAAAATCAGGACAGATGGTGCTGCCAACCCACATGGGGATGGGAACCTCAGCTGCCAAGAACGCATGCACGGTGAGGTGCTGACCAGGAGTGGACACTGCCTGCTGACCACACGCAGGCACAGTCCCCACGGGGACTGCTTCTTCCAGGCTGAAAGGGGGGCCCTCCTCCCAACTCAGGGAGGCCGCCTGCTCCTCCTGCAGGCTGCCCACCCAGGCTGTGCCAGTGATGGGGTGGGGAGGCCAGCCCTAGAGCTGAGCATGTCCCTGCTCTCCTCCCACCCGGTGACAGGCCAGGCCACCCAGAGCCTTGGGTGGGACCTGCCTGAGCCCCACCGACCTTGGCACTCACCTCCCCAGGGTGGCAGAACCCAGCCAAGGCACATCAGGCCACACTCAGTCCTCGGCCACTCATTCATTTACTCACTAGGCAGACAATGCCGGGGTGTGTCCACCCTGCCAGACTCAGGGGGTACCTGTTGACAAAAAGCCTCTGACTGGGACTGGCTGTGGGGACAGTGCCCCGGGATCACTCGGGTGCCCAGGCGGCAGACTCTGTGCGGCTCTGGGTAACTGCAGCCATTTCCCCTCCCTCTCTCCAGCACCCGAGGTACCTGCGCCGCTGTCTCCACACCCGAGACACAACCTGATGCTGGTGCTGGGTTATTTCTGGGTGTCAGCCCTGTGTTCCCAGGTATATCTGCAGTCCTGAAGACAGAGGCAGCCCCAGAACCCTCCACCTCTCCCAGCGCCAACACAAGATGCCCAATAACACACAACCCAGTAACTCCAAAGACATTGGGAGCAGCAGCTGGGTTCAGAGTAACCACTGCATGACCAGAAGCATTCGTTCAGCACCTACTGTATGCTGGCCTACCCAGAGGCATTAGGGGCACAGGCTTGCTGCCCTCATGGGCATCTCACTCAGGTCAAGGAGCAGCCAAATAACTGCAATCACAACAGTGCACTGTGAGTGCTGTGACCCGGGGCAGGTGACAGTGACCCACGACAGTGCACCGTGAGTGCTGGGACCCGGGGCAGGTGACAGTGACCCACGACGGTGCGCCGTGAGTGCTG